GACAGTGGTTTGGACATGTCCAGAGGAGGGACAGTGGTTTGGACATGTCCAGAGGAGTGACAGTGGTTTGGACATGTCCAGAGGAGGGACAGTGGTTTGGACATGTCCAGAGGAGGGACAATGGTTTGGACATGTCCAGAGGAGGGACAGTGGGTATATTGGTAGAAGGATGTTAGAAATGCAGCTGCAGGAAAAAGACAAAGAGGAGACATCTGGATGCAGTTAGAGAGGACATGGAGGTAGTTGGAGTGAGGACAGAGGACACAGAGGACAGAGTGAGATGGAGGAGGAGGACTCACTGTGGAGACCCCTGCACAGGGAAAAGCCCAATAAAGAAGAAGAAGAACAAGAAGTCTCATTGAGCCTCGAGGACTCATTTACAAAGAGACCTGTTTTAAACGAACACAGATGACAACAGTAGACAATCATAAAAGTATATGAATGAAAAGTAAATAGTAGATATTATATATAAAAATAAAAAAAATCAACAGGAACATGTATGCGGTGGTTTTTTCCATGAGTTCAGCAGTTGTTTAAAATCACTTAGAGAGGTCAAAGGTCGAGAGCATCAGATCTTTTTACAAGATATTCCAGGAAACAGGAGCAGAGTAGGAGAAGGTCCTTTAGTCTAGTTCAGTCCTCATTGAGGGAACACTGCAGGTAATGATGTCCTGAGAGCGCACGATGTAGCTGCACTCACACAGAGACATAATCATGTGTAATAATACATGATCACCCTCCATGGCAGCATTTAATAACAAGCACAAGCATTAGATAAATTAATTTTAAAATTAATTTTACAACTAAACAAAAATTACTTCTTAAAATTTGATTTTTGTGTTTTAATTTCTGATAACTTTTTCTCATCTTGTTACTTTAATTCAGTGTTTGTTTCAGGCAAAATGTTTATTATAAAGCAACACATTTTACACCAAATACAGGAAAACAGATGAATATGTTTAATAATTAAAGGTGTACTGATTTATACAAAAAATAAATAAAATATTTGTTTAATTAAACACATTGAGACTGAGGATCGTTTAGATTTGAACTAAGGACAAATATTTATAGTACATGATTTTTTAAAGTAAGAACAAACGTTGTGAGTTTCTTCATGAACTGAAGTAAATAAATTTGTTCATCTGTTGGATTGAATTCATAATTAATCACTTTTCCATCAGGTCCTTTAACGAAATGTTTAAAACAAACTGTGACTCTGTGGTGAAGTTATGTTTTCATAAAATGATGCAGAGTTTACACAAATAATAATGAAATGTGTTTTATATTAAATGATCTTCAGCGCTGTCAGATTATTTAAAGAACAGATTATTTAAAGAACAGATTATTTAAAGAACAGATTATTTAAAGAACAGATTATTTAAAGAACAGATTATTTAAAGAACAG